ACAATATTCGATAACAATAACACTGCCGTGGAGTTCATATGTGTCATCTTCTATTGTTAGTGACTTCTTTTTTGTCACGTTTATGCCACTTTAGAGTGGATAAAGAACATTTAATCCTACTTTTGAATCGTGGGCTGCTACCATCGTGAATAAATGTCATCACTAAAAACTTGAGAAATAGCAAATGAGAGAACACTCATAATAAAAGTGGGCGACTACAACTTGTAAAATTTGCTGTAAACAAAGTTTTACTTTTACAATACAATAAACGTAAAAACATATAACGAGCAACTATCATTTCGATTTTAAAATTGGCCTAACTAGAGGCAACAATGAGCACACCACTAGAGGTCAAGCATATCAAATGCTCAAAAGGATAATATCATTATTCATTGAGTGAAAGTGACAAAAAAAGGTGCTCCTTTTGTTTAGAAAACGTGCCAACTAGTTAATATCCATGTGAAAAAATAGATTATAGCACTCCAAGAACATACTCCGTAATAGAAGGTGAGGTGATGAATGAACCTTTTTAGGTGGACACCAATGAATCCATGCGAAATGCCAAACAAAGAAAGACCAAAAAACTGACAGATTCTTTTTTTTTTTGGATGAAATATCATCATGAAATTCATATGTATATTTTATGTGTAACCGACAAATTGTTCCTCTATAGACGGATTATGAATGATGTGTCGTTTTCGAAGTATGTGACTATCAAATCATGTTATTCTTGCGTTGATAGTGCACTTGAATAGTTCAATAAGTCGAGCGAAGTTTCTCCTTGGCTTATGGTCGAACTCAATAGCGGATCAGGATGAAAAGTGAGCATAGGCGACCACCAAATATAAGTGGAAAAAAAAAATTCAACGGATCCAGCACGAGCAGCCACCGGTGCCCGTCGAGTGCTAGATTCGCTAGTGATTGAACTTGGTATTTAAAGGAGATTTTGTAAATAAATTATCAACACTCAAATTTTTGAAGTTCATAGTTTCATTCGAATCTCCAAGTGAATACCCAAAGGCGACGGCTTGGTGTTAGATGATGGATTTAATTTTTGGCTCAATTTTATGGATGATTGAGCTTATGAACTTCATAGTTCATACATAAGTTGGTGGTGAGGAGTATATTAAGGATTCCCAATTGTTTTGGTCAGTAAATCCATTTTTTTCCCAGAATTTGGAGTTTACAACAAACAATTCTTCTCTTTGCATTTTTTTTTTTTTCCTTTTCTTTTTTCTTTTGGAAATTGGAGTTTTGATAGAAGATGTGTAGATGGTAGGAAATGAGAAATAATTATGTTTGTGTGTTTATTGTTTTATTTTTTAAGTTTAAGTTTATCGTCGGAAAGGGATTATCACAAGAAACCAAATTTGCCACCTAGATATTAAAAAATGTATGCTCTCAGACCACGAGTATTAAACTCTTTTTTGTTTATCTGTATATTTGTTTTTAACTATATATTTACACAATAAAATATTTTGCACGTAAATTCAAAATTTTTTCATACTTTTAACTACACATGCTCCTAAAAATCACTCTTCAAAATTCTATTTTTCTTAAAAAAATGATTGTCAAACATGGGCTTATTTTGCACATGATGTTAGGAACTACATATTTATACAATAAAATATTTTGCACGTAAATTCAAAAAAATTTCATTCTTTTAACTACACATTCTCCTAAAAATCACCATTCAAAACTCTATTTTTCTTAAAAAATGGTTGTCAAATAGGGGCTTAATTTGCACATGATGTTAGGTATCTAAGTTGATCCACCGAATAATTTAACATGATGAATGAAAAAGAATTGTAGATGGTTAGTTCTCAACTTTAAACTTGTGCCAACCTTCTAGCCAAGTATGGACTACATAAACACATCATATTTACAATGTTGTTATTAGAGGAGGATCGATGTCAATTTTCTAACATCTTTTTTTTGGCATTTTGTCGCGAATGCTCAGAGATACGTTAAATTGATGTAGTCTATAGCACATTATTCGTTGGATTTTGAAAATGTTGGCATATTAGCACAATTTTTCTTTCATCTGAATCCAGTTTTTTGGGTCAGGTAATCAAGACATACCACCACTACCACCAAGACTACCTACCATCTCACAGAGGATCCAAGGTATTCGTCGCCTCAGATAACAATCACCACCATCCACCACCAAGCTCAAAATCGGGCCATCCAATCATGGTCAAGTAGGGATGGCAAAAAAGCTCGCCAGCTCGGGCTCGGTTACACCGAACCAAAGCTCTGGCCGAGCCTCATTTTTTTGGCCGGGCTTTGCTCGGTTCGATTCGGTCCAAAAAAACTCGAGTCGAACCCGAGTTTTTTTATTTAATTTATAGTATATATAAACCGTACAAATTTAAAATTTTTTAAATAAAAATGTAGATTTAACATTAAAAAAAAACCCGAACAGCTCGGCTCGGGCCGAGCCTAATTTTTTTTGGTTGAGCTTGGCTCGGCTCGGCTCGGGCCCAAAAAAACTCAGCCTAAAAAAGCTCGAGCCGAGCCTGAGCTTTTCTTTGGGCCGGACTTGGCTCGACTCGGCTCGTTGACATAGCTATGGCCAAGTAACATAGGTAACACAATATGTTATCCTTGTAATAAGTGAATTTTATTAGAAAGTAATATATGGTAACATGACGTATCACTCATGTATATTAACATCATAATTTGTATATGATGTATACAAATAGTTTGATATGTTATCCATATTGAAATAACAAAGTCTCTCTCTAAGAAGTGTTTCCTTCTGGAGCACATTTCCCTTTAGAGAGTTCCAGTAAACCTAGGCTTGGTGTGTTGGTGCCCCCAAAATGTCGACCAGGGCTTTTCAATAAGGCGGGTCGAAGTCGGAGCAACCTCCCCCGCCTCGCCAGGCAATTTCACCCGTTACCCATTTAAGGCACGGCGGGGCGGGGCCCTTACCTTGCTTCCTACTCTGTTTAATTTTATTTTTTTAAGTTTTTGATTCATTTCATTATTCTCATTCATTAAAGTGAGATAATAATATTTTTTTATTTTTTATTTATGTTTAAAAGTTAAATTATTCAAATATATTTGATAAATTAAGACTTTTATTGTTTGTCGTATTTTTTAAATAATCTTACTTGCAATTTTTTATCAGAACTAATAAAATTTCTTAAAGTTTTCCATTTAAAGTATTGAATTCTAAAAAAAACAAAAATATTAAATGGGGCGGAGCGCTCGTTACCGGTACCTGCCCCGTCCCCGACCCGAATAACTAATTAAGCGGGTAATCTCTGCCCCGAGCGGGTATCGGGTTTGTCGGGTTTTTTTGCCACCCTTGTAGAATCAAGCATATATGAGAAAATTGCAATAATTTATCTTTAATCAGTTTATCATATACTCGTTTGTTTCCATTTCTACTGCCAAATTTGTGTGTTATAAATGACACTAATAGTATGCTAAATCAATACATGTGCAGCATGTTTGCATTGCTAAGCTTGCACTTGTTTATGTATGGATGCAATCTGTTAATGTGGAAGAGCACAAGGATCAATTATAACTTCATATTCGAATTTCAACCCAACACGGCCCTCAAATACAGAGACGCTTTCCTCATTTGTACCTCTTTGATGACGGCTGTGGTTGGGGCTATGATCATCCACCTAATCTTAATCTCCCAAGGCTTCTCACCCCGTCAAGTTGACATGATCCCGGGAATTCTCCTACTGGTTAGTAACTTCATAATTGCAATATACACTAATGTCCAATATACAGCATCAAACGTGCCCTTCGGCCTAATTTTTTGTGACCGTATTTCAGTTTTTCATCGGGCTACTCATATGTCCGTTAAACATCTTCTATCGCCCGACGCGCTACTCTTTCATTAAAGTAATACGCAACATAGTCTTCTCTCCATTTTACAAGGTACTTCTAGATATTAATTTTATGTACATACAGAGTCTGATTGATGTAGATTTTTTTTAGAATTGTTTTTGTGAAAAATGATTTTTTTGGAGGATGTGCGGTTAACTGTAGGTAAAATTTATAGTGCACGTGTAAAATTATTTTATTTGGAGAATGTATAGTTATATACGAGCTTGGGGAAAATTGAGCTTTAAATAATCTCTACCAAACAGGGGTGTATCATCACATCTTCTATAAGTAACGGTTTTTCATGTCTGCAGGTTTTGATGGTAGACTTTTTCATGGCTGATCAACTTACTAGCCAGGTAGCCATAATTATTAAAACTTGTTCATAGTATTTTTGGACGAAAATAAATCGTTTTTCCTCTAGGAATTGAACATATCACAATGTTCGATATAGACTCACAAGTCTGTGATCTAAATACTGTCCTTTTCTTGCATTGGATTTGTTCAACAGATACCATTATTAAGGCACATGGAATCGACGTCCTGCTACTTTCTTGCTGGAAGTTTTAAAACACACAATTATGAGATGTGCAAGTCTGCAAAGTTATACAGGGAGCTTGCTTATGTTATCTCCTTTGCACCGTACTACTGGCGTGCAATGCAGGTAATTTTATAGTCGTATTTGCCTGTTTCTTCACTTTGACTTCAATTGAAGAGTGTTTTGTCGATACGCATTGAATATGTTCCATATGGTTATCTTCGAGTTGCATAATAAAATGCATATCCCTCTTCTTAATAAGATGTTAACAAAATTTCTTATTCAAATACTAGTGTGCAAGACGTTGGTTTGATGAATGTAACCCAGAACAGCTGGCTAACCTCGGGAAATATGTCTCTGCTATGGTGGCAGCCGGGGCAAGGTTAACCTATGCCAGGCAGCCCACACAATTGTGGTTGGTCATCGTTTTGCTGACTTCATTGGTAGCCACAGTTTATCAGTTGTACTGGGATTTTGTTAAAGATTGGGGACTTCTTAAGCCAAAATCCAAAAATCCATGGCTTAGAGATGATCTCATATTGAAGAATAAAAGCATCTACTATGTTTCCATTGTGAGTTCTATCCCCCCTAGTTTCTCTTCAACTACTTCGGATAGAATACTAGTAACCATTTGGGCGTGTTTGGTACACAGTCAAATCCAACATGCCAAACAAGCCCATGTTTTTATCTTGAATGCTCAGTTCAAATGAATTTTCACATCTCTAAACAGATAATATTTCAATTTTAGGCCTTGAATATTGTCTTGAGAGTAGCATGGGTGGAGACTGTGATGAAATTCAAATTCGGAATGTTAGAGTCACGACTACTTGAGTTTTTCCTGGCTTCATTGGAGGTCATCCGACGCGGACACTGGAACTTTTATAGGTACTACCCTCCTCCTTTTTCCAGGTTGGGACACAGAGAAGTAAACTTCGCATTTTTTACTCCATTGCTATTAAACAAATAGATTGAAGCATATAACCAGATAATTATAAGCATTTAGCTCTATTAACTTCACATGTATGATTAAACAGATTGGAGAATGAGCATCTCAACAATGTTGGGGAGTTTAGGGCAGTGAAAGCAGTTCCATTACCATTCCATGAGACGGATTCTGATGGTTGAAAGTTTTGCTGATACTTGTACAAGTGCAAGACATTTCGGCAGATCTATTCAGTGGATTCGAAACTTATTGGAACGTTGAAGAATCCGAAATTCAAGCATGAAACCATAAAATGAGCCGTAAGGCTTGTTAAAAAAAAACTCGCAACAATAGCTCTGGGCTAGGTCTATACTACAATGGGCAAGTTTAACTAGAGTTTGGTTGCATAAACGTATTTTCAATGTTTGAACTATTTTTATTTTTACCGAAATAATTTATTAGACTTGCCACGGAATTCATCTGTACTAGAAGAAATTTTTTGTACATTGTATTTACACAATGGTGGCAATGAAAGTAACTTATCTCATTGATTTTCTTGTTTTTTCTTTTTTTTTTTTGAAAGCATAGCAAAAGTATTGTTTTTTAAGGTAAATCAGCACGAACAGCATGCAAAATAGAACGAGGCATACAATCAGCGAAGGATGCAAGGCGTATGAGCACCAAACGTTGGATTCTCTCCGAGTGGGCATTATAAACTTTTCCACCGTGGGCAGGAGAACAGCTCTGATACATTGGATTATGGTGATGTTGCATGCTGCTGCTTCGATAACGCAAATCTAATGTGTCCCACTAGATTTTTTTTTTTCCCGAATTGGAACAACTAGAAACATCACCATAATCAAATTAACAATATTAGAGAGATACACACCTATTAAGTCTATAACATTAATAGCTCATCAGGGAGGATAAAATTGTTTTAAAAATGCGAAATCAGTACATACAATAAAGTTAGTAATTAATTGTGATTCAAATTGTGCCTTCTAGTGAGGGAAGGTTGCAACTTGACGTGACGTCATCGCAGGGAATAAATAACATAATTAAATTCTAATGAAAAATTTCATCAGGAAAAAATAAAAAGATATTTCAACTTCCTCCGGCTTACAAGAAAAAAAAAAATTATCGCTGATATCATGTTGAAACTCCAGTTATTCCTGAGAATTAATACTCTATGTTTTAATATCTAACATTAAAATTAATATTTAACTTTTACTGAATTTATAAACTATTTATAAATTGGCTATCAAACGGAGACTAATATAACATTAATAGCTCATCAGGGAGGATAAAATTGTTTTAAAATGTGAAATTACTGTTGGAATTATGTATCGAAAATTGGTTGTGACCAATTTAAATGATTTAAACGAAATTCGTTGTCTGGTGAATGAGAAATTAAGTCAAACTTAAACCGCATAATACTTGAAATTATTGGAAAGTCGTATAGAATCTTGTGAAATATTCTAGAAAATATGTAGATGAAAAGATGTGTCTTTTCATATG